GTGTGCCTTGGCAGAATCATAAATGAATACTTGGAAAAACAAAGAAACTCATCAGCAAAATAAAAAAGTTAGAGAGAAGATGCTACTTTTGAAAAAGCTTGAGTTCAAGGTAAACGCAGTCTGCTGTTTTATTGACCAGACATACAGTAGCTCACTAAGTGACACAGCCCTAAATAGGAAGACATGAAACAAATCATTTGAAGTATGTTTTCTTTGAAATGTAAACGTTTCAATTAAACTCACAGATTGTCGGACTGACCAGAAGTAAAACTAACTTTAACTGTTTAATTGTTCACTGATCAAGCATCTTACATAAGCAAAAGAAGAATTGGAAACATAGTCTTTTGTTTTTTGTTTAATTACCTACTGTCAAACTAAATGGATCTGAAGGATGTTCTGACTGCATGAGAAGCAGTCAACCTTCTGAACGGCTGCTGGTCTGCTGCCACAGAGTTGTTGCTCACAGCAGGCGGCAGTGGAAGTGTGAAGTTTGAAGTGTGTGTGACTGATGTGGTTCGGTGGTTGTGAAGACTTGTCCACAGGCCATGTAATTGGCAAGAAGCATTTCCTCCCTAATGAGAAGCTCCAGCAGCTGCCACCCAGTTCTCTGTCCTGCTTTGACTCGGTCGTAGAAAAACATTTGAAACCCAGAAAAATATTAACTCTCTTCTTATTACCATTTGTGGTGTGAAAAAAAAGTTGGAATATTGAAATGACGGTTTTTACCCTCTAATTTATCACCTTGATTGGTATGGTGCACATGTTTTAGTTATATACTATTTATTAAAATGTTCTTTGTTGATATAATTGACGACTCACACATTAGTCAAACATTTGTTCTGCCTATAGGATTTGTACAAGATTAACTCATTTTCTATATTTTTTTCCACCATTACCGTAAAATGTTTTAATAAATACACTTGTATCATGTATGTTTGATAGTAAATGTAAAATAGAAATGTCTTGAGCGTTTGATAAAAAAGAACCGCAAAAAATAAAGAACTGAATAAATGAATAGTTCAATAAAAAAAAGAAACTAAAAAGATGATCTAATATAATAGATTGACATTTCTTTGGTTTTCCAATTGAAATAAAACTCTGCAAAATGTTTATTCAAAGCTGTAACTTTGTATAATTAATTGTTCCCTGGGTGGTTGTTGCTGTTGAAAGAAAAATGTCCTCTTGACTAATAGCTGTAGAGTCACAGTCAAATAAAAAGAAACGTAAAAACAAAAGTCTCTTGTTGAGCAGGGTGTTGGGCAGCTAACGCCCAGCGAGACAGAATGATTTTGGCCAGACAATTCATGTTTTCTAGGAGGTTCAAGGAGCGGATATTGTGAGCACTTGTGATGGATATCATACCAGCCAAGAGAGATAAATCATTTAGATTGAATAGTTTGTCTAAGACATCTTTATTTGTTCACTTTTCGATGTTCTCCGTTTGTTTAAATCATTGTTTAACATGTCAAGCCGTTCACCTCCAATGAACAATATTATATGTTTTATTTAATAATAGACACTGAATTAAACTGTAATAATGTCCCTGGTCGGCGTATTTTCCTGTAAATATCTTTACTTACTTTATTGGTTTGAAACACTTGCAGCTCACAGAATGTATAAGAAACCAACAGCTTTCTTCAAAACAAAGGTGACATTAAGCGCTTAGTGTTTTATGTGGCACTTTAATATCAGAACATTTCAGCATAACACATATTCTCCCTTTCCAACAATATATATATATATATTACACAAATTCAATCAAATATTATCCAAACAAAATAACCTGTTTGATAAAAGTGGTATAATAAAAAGAGAGGGGTACAAGCGGTTTGGAAAGTAACATTTATATCAATCGTACAGACAGTATGACCTAACTTCAGTTTCCATTTGTTGAAATAATAAAGACTAGTTTCACAGTATTTTTCCTCTGTTCGCAAGGACATTTGAGTGTATTGCAATGGGAAGTTGTCCAAAAAGCAAAAAGGTGTAGATTTAATCCTAGCTCTCTTCAATCCCCACTAACTCGTTAAATAACATACCGTAATTTTCGGACTATAAACCGCGCCTTTTCCCCTATTTTTCGACGCTGCGGTTTATATAACGGTGCGGCTAATCTATGGATTTTTACAGCTAACGGCCAACACCTTTAACTCTATGGGCTCTATGGCCGGTCCGCGGACCCCCACCTTTAAGCGGCGGGTTCCAGCAGGAAAAGCTGGAGGCCGGAAAAGAGTGAGACAGGTAGCGCGCAAAAGTAAAAGTGAAACCGAGAGTGGTATGCTGCTGCTGCGGCTTATATTCAGGTGCGCCTTATAGTCCGAAAATTACGGTANGAATTGTATTACCAAATTGGTATCAAATAAACAGTAAGCATTGGTAACACAACTTCCAAAGTTACAGTAGAATAAAAAGGACCCTGACTCGGACAATACACAATCCAACATGTTCAACAGAAGGGAATCAGTTATATTGTTTGTACTAGAGATGTCCCGATCCGATCACGTGATCGGGGATCGGAGCCGATCACTTGATTTTCAAAAGATCGGAATCGGGAGGAAAAAAATCGGGGATCGGGATTTAATAATAAAAAAAATGTATATATACTTTTTTTTAAATTTTTATTCAATGTTACAAAACAAATATAACCATGTTCAAGTCTTAAAGTCATCCTGAGGCCTTGGTTTTGGTTTCAAATTACACAACATCATGTATGTGTTGCTTCTTTGGGGCTTGTTTTCATAGACCTGGTTGCTTATTTCTCTCAAATCTGGCAACAGAGTGGGCAGGGCGCAGTGTCTAATTGTAGCAGTAAGCTAACGAGTACTGAAAGCTTGATTTTGTTTTGATCCAATGCTGCACAACTGAACTGATCCAATGCTGCTGTGAAAGAAAGAAGCTATATCCATGTTGGATAGAATATCCAATTTAAATAAAAAAATAACCTTAAGGGACAACTTGAATGCTTTTTTTCTTTTTTTTCTCTTAATGCATTGCATAAAGATCGGATCGGGAAAAATCGGTATCGGCAAATTGTCAAAATCAAATGATCGGAATCGGATCGGGAGCAAAAAAAGGTGATCGGGACATCCCTAGTTTGTTACATAGGTTTTTGTGCATGTGCATGGTCTGCAAAGGATAAAACACCAAAGTTGAAGATAATAGGACCCCTTCTAGTAATGTAACCTGATCCCTTTCCACTAGTTTTGGATTACCTCCATTTGAAATGGAATGAAAAATAAATACAAGAGGAAAGAAATATCACTAAAATGTGTTTTACTTAAGTGTATTATGCAAGAAAACAGAACAATGTAACCTTAGAAAAGAAGAAACCTGCCTTTCATTAAGCACATGCTGGCAGCAGTTTATATATAATTCAATGAGTGCATTGTAAGATTGTAATCCTGCAAGTAATCCCTATTTTTTGGTTGGATCAATGTTTTTGTAACTGTTAGGGAATACATTTAAAAATGTTTTAATGCTAATTAGGTAATATTGTTACATGTTTTCTGTTACTCCCCAAGTCGGTAAACGACCTTCAGTTCACTGGGGATCTGTCCCTTGTTGTGAGTGATAATATCTTTAGTTTCCAGAAGTTCGTACCCCCTCGTGAGCTCTGAACTGCCAGACTCTTGTGCAGCACATTTCCAGTAAACATCCCGATGAACGAGGAGAGGAAGAGATTAAATACTTCCCACACTTCCAGGCCACTAACTGCTTCCCCATTAGAAGCTTTTAGGATTCCCAGCTGGGACGCATTGCTGCATGTTGTCAGCAAACCGGCCCACTTAAATAAAGTCAATTCTAATGTGCACTATATTGGTCAAAGGACTCAGATGTTATAGTGGTTTTACTGTAACCTGAACTTTCTGAGAGACTTACAAGAGAAAAGCATAACAGCTTCAAATGGATCTTGAACTCAGATTATATTGGCAGATGTTTTCTGGACAGATGTATTTGGTTTTAAAATGTGTGTCTTTTTTGTTTCTAACCACCATCAATACGACACAGTGTTAGACAATCATTTGGGGAATCCTCAAAGAGTTATTTATCAGTATAAGACATGGACAACAATAGAGTAATGACAAATAATATAGGCTGGATCAGGGTACATTTTGTTCCTGCAGACATGTTGTATTCCTAGAGGCCAGTTGTTAGTTCTTTGACAATGGATGAACACATGAACACATTTGTCATCACAAATGTGTTCATGTTGCTATACGTATGTTTAACAGGCCGTTTGGTAAACAGTTTTGCAACCAAGGATTATATGAAGCGATATAATTGTGTCTTGAATGNNNGTCCCGATCACCTTTTTTTGCTCCCGATCCGATTCCGATCATTTGATTTTGACAATTTGCCGATACCGATTTTTCCCGATCCGATCTTTATGCAATGCATTAAGAGAAAAAAAGCATTCAAGTTGTCCCTTAAGGTTATTTAAAAAAAAAAAAGAAGTATTTATTAAAAAAAATTAAAAAAATCCCGATCCCCGATTTTTTTCCTCCCGATTCCGATCTTTTGAAAATCACGTGATCGGCTCCGATCCCCGATCACGTGATCTCTATAACAAACTACAGGAAAAGGAAAACCCCAAAAAGAATCAAACTGTGAAACTCAGATTAGTTTACTGATTTCCATTATTTTACAGGTTATAAGTAATTGTAACAGAATACACTTTTAAACCTTCCCAACCCTGTCTTTCTTACTCTGAAAATGACTACCAAGGTGTCCCTGAGCAAGGCACTGTTCCCTACACTGCTCCTACAGTAGGATGGGTCAAATGCAGAATTCCCCTCTGTGGGACAATTAAGGGCACAAGAAAAAAAATGTATATCAAAAAACACCACACTGATTAGAGTTACACAAAATCTCTTTATTTCTTCCTTTCCAGCCCATTCATAGAAACAGCTTCAAAAATATAGCATTCTGTTGACAATACACTCAAATAAAAGCTGTAGTGCACGTGTGTTCAACGAACAAGGAAATATGAAATAGCATTTCTAAATGGGGAAAAAAGCACTGCATACAAATGTCTTTGATAACTACAAAAATATATATATATATACACAACACTGACATCATAACTTAACCAGCAGCATACTGTTATTAAATATCGAGGGTAAGTGGTGAAACAGCTTTTGAAGACACACTTCACCGCAGCAAATGTAAAAGCCTCCAGAGTGAGGCACTAAATATAAAACATAAAATGAAAGGATGCTCTTATTAAACATCTCTCTACATGTATAATTATTAGTTTCGATACATACGAAGATACTTTCACAAAGTCTGCTGCTTGCTGTGATTCTATATAACAAAACAAACTTGGTGCCATTGAACACTTGCAGGAAACAAGTGACTTTAAACTGGACGGCACCAGAAGAAGTTTAACACAAAACAAGATACTGATATGACTCTAATATACATTTACAGCAGTGCCTTCTATCACAATTGATGTTGATTTTTATTTCTGTATTTCAGACAATGAATGCTTGGAAGTTCCCCGGCGGCTTGTCTGATCTAGCAGAAAATATTGGTGAGTGTCACAAAACTAATACAGTACATCTACAGCTAAAGCCTTCGATTTTAGATGATGATACATTCATTTGAACCGTACAAAACAAGGCACATGATATATATATATTTATATCTGTTTCTCCAAATTCACCTCTAAAGCAGCTTTGGTATTATATACATGACCCAACACAAAAAGCAGCGTTTGTCTTTACAAAAAATATATATATTTTCCCTTTTCCCCCACATCTTAACATCAGGTGACTCTCACAAGGGAACGTGAATATATTCCTTTAAGTCAAGATCTTTACAATTCCTCCACGTACATTTAGTAATATTGTAAAGGTGCCCTATTATACTGTGTTTCATTACTTTATTATAGGTCTCAGATAAATACAAAACATGTCTCTGAAGTGTTTGGTTACAAACACCAAACAGATCATTGCAGCATTACCCATAATCCCCTCTGTTTCAGCCCTGTTTCCAAAGTGCTGATTCTCTGTCTGTTACTTTAGATGAAAATAAGGAGCCCCTCCCCACGCCCCTCTGAGAGAGATTTGGTTAAAAATAACTCTATGGTGCTCTAGGAGGAGATGCGGGGGGGGTTACCTTGGTTGGTGATTGGCTAATGGTTACACAAGACAACACATCGTTATGACATCATAAAGTGGCCAAAATATAAAGGTTTTTATAGAAATGGATCAGGACAAAAAGAGAGAGAATATCTTTTCCTGAAACTTTCAGAGTCTCTTCACACAGAGGGGACACATGTTTATGCATAAGAGACATGAAAAAGTGGATTTTGCATAATGGGTGACCTTTAATGAATCATTCTCAGGTACTACTGCGGTCAGGGAAGTGTTCGAGGAAACTGGCGTTCGCTCAGAGTTCAGATCTCTGCTCAGCATCAGGCAGCAGCACCACCACCCCGGCGCCTTCGACATGTCGGACATGTACATCATCTGCCGACTCAGCCCTCTCACCTATGACATTAACTTCTGCACTCAAGAATGTCTGCGCTGCGAGTGGTTCCAGCTTGCAGAGCTAGCAAAGACCGAGCACACCACCCCCATCACCGCTCGTGTCGCCCAGCTACTGCTCCACGGCCTGGAGAGCGGCTTCCACAACATCGACCTCTCCATGGAGTCTATTCCTGCCGTCTACTCGGGGAAGTTTTACCAGCTGTATCACCGGCAGCTTCCTTCCACACTGAAATCCTAGCAACCCGATGGGGTTATGTTGACACATGGCTGTCAGTATTACTCATGAAAAGTGTATTTATGACTGGAAGGATGTTTGCAGTGTGTCTGTTCACAACTAAATATTTGGAACAATAGAGTGGTGCAAGAATGAGTCCTAAACCTGGACATTAGCATTGAGCAGTTAGCATTGAGAGTTAGCATTGAGCAGTTAGCATTTCGGGGTTCCTTCATCTGGTTTGGGATACAAGGACTAATACAAGCTTATGAGATGTTCACGTTTAGTTATACGAGAATCAGTAAATACCCCAGTGGTGAATGTCTCAAGCTTCTATGTGTCATAAAAGCAATAGTTGCTAACTAAATTACTAAATTAAACTACTAAACGCCATCGCGTCACACATTAGCCGCATTTAGCTTAGCCTTGTTGACGTGAAGTCACGTGACAGTTATGAAGTTCCTTGATAGCCCAACGTTAGCTTTTTTACTTCTGGCGATTGCATTCAACTATTAAAACAATGATGCTAATATTATCCTGGATAAATCCCGATTATTTTTATGTTGAGATTTTGCCATGCTAACTTCCAGGTTGGACTACATACATATCATCACTGCACCACTCTATACCTGAACCACCATTTTATACGGTTCATATTTATAACACTTGTTTGGTAGCCTTACCGTTGGGAAAAAGTGGCTCCAAGCAGCTAATTTCTTTTGTCAAAGGCACTATTTTTAAAGGTTGCTGTGTTTTTAACTTGTAGCAGGTCTTGCTAACGAGCTAACCCCCAGTGTCAGCTGAAAACATACTGGAAGGAGCTAACATAAGGTTAGGTGTTGCAATATCAATATTGTCTGCCTTAATGCAATTACTGACTGGTCAAGTAACTCACAATAATATTTGTTGTTGAAGTTAACTGCCTTTCTGTCATTGAACTAGACATCATTTAAAACCATTGTCCTCGTGGGAATTTGGCAATACAGAAGGGAAACATCGTTTTATCCGGAAAAAAAAAACAAGCTCAGGAAACCTGTTCAGTTTCTGTGTGTGTGAGTGTGAATATTCTGAGTTGTGTAAAATGACGCGATAAAACTAGTGCTTGGGCTTTGATTCGAGTTGGTTTAGGGTGCTTAGTTTTTTTGACAAACTACAAAATCCTAAAATGTAGTAATTTAGTTCAGTCCCTAATCTCTTATCAGGTTATAATGGTGTATGATTAGAATGCATGTTCTTTTTTTAACTTGTTTTAACAGTATATATACGGACCTTATACCTTCATCTTACAGCTAAGTTTAGACTGCAGGAGCTGAACAGTAGGAAAGGGTTGTTGCTTTAAGTCAAAGAAGATCTGTTTAGCCAAAATGAACACTGCCATACTCTATGGTACAATTCAGCAAGGTACCTGGTTTCAGTTGCATTACTGCAGCAGTTACTGTGAAGCAGCTAGGTGCAAATGTGGCCACAGTTTGAAAGTAAAAGCTGACTAAGAGCAGACATGTTCAGGATACAACAGTCAGAAAGCATCACAGCTGTTTTGGGGCAATGTCGACGGAGCCACCTTGTCTTCATTGCCGTCACATCTTCTTCTAGCCTTGACAGCCATTGGAAGAAACAGGATGGCCTTTTGACCTCGGCTAGTTTTGCTCCCGGGCTTGTACTGGCCGTTTCTCTTCAGGGCCACGTACATGTCGGGGTACTTCCTGGAGCGGTACGTGTTGTAGTTGTTGCTCTCGAGCCGCTCCAAGAAGTAGCATTCATCTGTCGCTCGTCTCTGGAGAGAAGACACAGAGAAATCACTTTCGTTTGATGTTCAGTGGACGGAAATGAAGTACCGTAATTTTCGGACTATAAGGCGCACCTGAATATAAGCCGCAGCAGCGGCATACCACTCTCGGTTCCACTTTTACTTTTGCGCGCTACCTGTCTCACTCTTTTCCGGCCTCCAGCTTTTCCTGCTGGAACCCGCCGCTTAAAGGTGGGGGTCCGCGGACCGGCCATAGAGCCCATAGAGTTAAAGGTGTTGGCCGTTAGCTGTAAAAATCCATAGATTAGCCGCACCGTTATATAAACCGCAGCGTCGAAAAATAGGGGAAAAGGCGCGGCTTATAGTCCGAAAATTACGGTATATATATATATATATTTCTTTTTAAAACGTCTCGGGAGTAATGTGCCTTCCCTGCCCTGAAGAAGAAGTGATCCTTCCTAGTGCCCATCGCCATATGGCTCTGCTAGTGCCTGATGAGTTTTAAGCTAATAGTAATAGTCTATAAAGTTATTGTCATCGAAGCAGGCGCCACATCACCAATAGTGAAGAAATGGATGATGTTTCAGGTTTGTGAATCTAATGGTGATATCTGCACTCTGGCTGGAACATGGAGTAACCACACTAATTATACCCTTATTTGTTAGTATGTATACAGAACATGACTAACAATGATCCTAAGATGTAACGTTAACCCTTCATACCTCAGTCTACCTTTAAGACGCTAAAATAACGTATTCCAATTTTTATTTTGTTTTGGAATTATACCGGCTCTCGTTTCAGTACACACAACAACGAAACCATAGCAACAGAACTGACAGGCAACCCTCTGAATCAGACTCTGATTGGCTGTGACTGCATCCACTCAGAGTGACAGATTCAGAAACGTGACTCTTACACTCTTTACGTCACAAACAAAGATGGTGGATGAGAATAGATCTATAAAACGATAAGCAGTGCACCAGAATCAAGGTGAGACTATCCGCATCCTTTAAAACTCTACGCACATTCGTTTCACCAAAATAAGTAAAGGACTGTATTTAAATGAGTTAAGGCATTAGTTTGCTTCATTAAAGGATGTTAATGAAGAAGTGTTGTGCAGAGCCTTTTGTCCGCTTTAAGGTATTATTAAGGTAGGGTTAATGTTGCTCTCAAAGCTCCCCGGACTCCCCTAAAGGAGGCGACGACCCCCCTAAAGGATGTTCGGTCCACCCCCCAACAACTCCTGGGCTAAGCCCCGGATCTCCTAAAATCCTAAATCCGCCACTGATGTCCAGTCCTGTACATCAGAGGCCATGCCCAGTTTCCACAAATATGGGTATGGAGGAGGTTTCTTTAGGTTTCTATATCCTGTTGTTGAGCATAAAGCCACTGGAAGAGAGGGAGCAAAGAGACTGAGAGAGGGGGGGGGGGGTTTTCCCCTGGTATCTCTCTCCCCGGTAAGCTCTGTCCCTCAGAGCTCTGCGGTTAATAGCTCTCGGTAAGGTTCTCTCAGACCTTGGTAAATATCTCCCCAGTTCTTGTTGAATGCTGAGTGATGTATCTCTTTGTGAAATGAGTGGAATGAATTAGATATCTGATGTGTTTGTGAATATTAGGCCAGCCTGTGAGGAATCTCCCTCCGAATTCATCGCGGATAGGTATGGGGTTTTTGAAGTTATTCCTGCCATCTGTCGGAAAACATAGGTATGGAATTGATTGTTTGAATGTGCTTTTTTATTATCACCGGTCTTTTATGAGGTAAGACCTCTGAGTTCTATAAACATCAAACTGAAATTGGGCAGTTGAAGTTTCACAAATGGTATGCGTTAATACATTTAAAAACTGTGAATTTAAGGTTTCCATATTAGAACATGATCCAGGCATGTATGTTTTAGTATGAGGGTATAATGTTGTAAAGAGAGAAGGTGAAACCCTGTGATTAGTTTGGACCTATTTGTCTTCAATACTGATCCACCTTTTGGACTGGGTACAACTTAAAGACATCTGCGCTCCCTCTCCTGCTTCAAAGGTAATGATGGCCACCCTGCTACGCTCACACTTAGGGTAGGGCCAACACCTCATTTCTGACTATCAATCCTTCGGGATCGGCTGAACAGATTTAGGAGCGTCGTGTGATTGACAAGGTTGTGCCTAGTTCTCAGGAGTTAATGAGGTGGATCTTTCTGATGTTGTGGACCTTAGCCAAGCAGTCCAAACTGACACAGGGGAACTTCTACCTTCTTCTCTTGTAGGTCTGAGTCATTATAATGTCAGCCTCCGACTTAACAAGTGCATTCATGCTGTGATTATGTTCTAAATTATCTGAAACTTATTTCATCTGTTTTGATGTATCTAAACATGTGCTATTTCTACTGAACCCATTCATTTGGATGTTTATGTCAATTCGGTAGTTCTTAGGCCTCATGAAGAGGAACAATTAAATGATTGAAATGAGAGTGACCGCTGTTGTGGTAAGTGTAACAGACATTCAATCTAAAATTGCTGCAAATGCCATACCTATGTTTTCCGACCTGGGATGGCAGGAATAAACTTTCAAAAACCCCATCCTATCCGCATGAATTCGAGGAGATTCCTCACAGCTGGCCTAATATTCACAAACACATCGATATCTATTCATCCAACTCATTCACAAAGAGATTACTCAGACATTCAACAAGAACTGTGGGGAGCTATTTACCAAGTCTGAGAACTTACCGGAGCTATTAACCCAGCTCTGAGGACAGAGCTTACCGGGAGAGGAGTATACCAGGGAACCCCCCCCCCCTCTCTCTCTCTTTTGCTCCCTCTTTCCAGTGGCTTTTATGCTCACAACAGGATTATAGCGAAACCTAAAGAACCCTCTTCCATACCCATATTTGTGGAAAACTGGGCATGGGCCTCTGATGCTACAGGAACTGGACATCGAGTGGCGGATTAGGACTTTTAGGAGATCCGGGGCTTAGCCCAGGATGTTGTTGGGGGGTGGACGAAACATCCTTTAGGGGGGTCGTCGCCTCCTTTAGGGGAGTCCGGGGGCTTCTGGAGCACCATTAACCCTACCTTAATAATACCTTAAAGCGGACAAAGGCTCTGCACAACACTTCTTCATTAACATCCTTTAATGAAGCAACATAATGGCCTTAACTCATTTAAATACAGTCTTTACTTATTTTGGTGACCGAATGTGCGTAGAGTTTTAAAGGATGCGGATAGTCTCACCTGATTCTGGATGCACTGCTTACGTTTTATAGATCTATTCTCATCCCACCCTCTTTGTTTGTGACGTAAAAGTGTAGAGTCACGTTCTGATGTCACTCTGAGTGTTATGCAGTCAACAGCCAATAGAGTCTGATTCACGAGGGTTGCCTGTCAGGTTCTGTTGACTATGTTTCGTTGTTGTGTTTACTGAAACGAGAGCGTATAATTCCAAAAACAAATAAAATTGGATACGTTTATTTTAGCGTCTTAAGGGTAGACTGAGGTATGGAAGGTTAACGTTACTCTTAGGATCATTGTTAGTCATGTTCTGATATACAGTACTAACAAATAAGGGTATAATTAGTGTGGTTTACTCCCATGTTCCAGCCAGGGCAGAACACCATTAGATTCACAACACCTTGACATCATCCATTTTCTTCACTACTGGTGACTGTGGGCCTGCTTCGATGACAATGATTATAGACTATACTATTAGCTTAAAACTCATCAGGCACTAGGCAGAGCCATATGGCGATGGACTAGGAAGGACACTTCTTCTTCAGGGCAGTGAAAGGGCACATTACTCCCGAAGATCGTTTTAAAAGAAATATTAGTATTATATATACCGTAATTTTTCGGACTATAAGCCGCCGACCTTTTTCCCTATTTTTCGCGCTGCGGTTTATATAACGGTGCGGCTAATCTATGGATTTTTACAAGCTAACGGCCAAACACCTTTACATCTATGGGCTTAGGCCTGGTCCGCGGACCCCACCTTTAAGCGCGGGTTCCAGGCAGGAAAAGCTGGAGGCCGGAAAAGAGTGAGACAGGTAGCGCGCAACAAGTAAAAGTGGAACCGGTAGGGTATTGCCGCTGCTGCGGGTTATATTCAGGTGCGCCTTATGTCGAAAATTTACAGTTATATATATTATTTTTTTTTATTTTTTTAAGTGGAACATCCGGGCGTTTTCAGAAAAATTCCGGGCTTGGGCCCAAGTGCCACCCCTAACGCCGCCACTGCTGGACATGCCTAGGCTATTCTATTGGCTTATGGAATAAGACACCCCTCCATGTTGGTTAAAAAAGGACATGACACCCATTAATTTTAAACAGTCAATTCCTTTCAACGTNGTGCGAACGGGCACGTTAATTGAGCCGAATGCGTGTGAACGGAAGACTTTTTTGAAAACAAATTCGGTGCCGAGGACGAAACGGGGACGTTTGCGTTTAAGCACCGAATTTGTTTTCAAAAAAGTCTTCCGTTCACACGCATTCGGCTCAATTAACGTGCCCGTTCGCACGAGACCGCTCGACCCGCTGGAAACGCTGTACATATGCCGGGCCTGTAAGTGGCGCTGCTACCGCCACAAAATACACCACAAGCAGCGAAGAAGACCCCGGAGCATGGTTGCCATGGTTGCCTTTCTGTTTATTCTCTGCGGTGGACGGCTTGTGCTCCTGCTGTAAATCTCTCCGGTAGTCCACCAGCAGATGAAAAACACCCACCTCTCCCAAGGGACGAGGGAACCGTGCGGCAGAGTTTCCGTTAACATTTTTTTCCGCCGGTCAACATGTCCGTTAAAGTTTAAATCTTCCGGACAAAATCAGAAAAGTGCCGGTCAGAGGTCTTCTTTGTTATTTATTGAGCTTTAAAACAAATTGATAACGACTCTATATAATAATAATAATAAATGGAGCCTCTCTTTTCCTCCGCCTCTTCTGAGAGCCCAGCAGCTGATCTCTGAGCGGGAGAGGGAGGCGGGGCTATTTCATCGTAATCAGAAAATTATCGTATAGGGCGTACACACGGAGCCGTTTTGCCCCCCAGAGCGTTCCGTTTGCAGATCTATCCACCTTGGGACCCGTTATCGTTTGCGGGGTCCGTTTCCGCGTTTGCGTGTTGGCCTCGTGTGAACGAACTACTAAAAAGTCCTAGTACTAGTACGCGAGAGAAAAGTAGCAGATACAACCCGTTTTGTCCTCGTGTAAACGGCACCTGAAAATGACTGTGGATTCCGAATTTCCGGGAATTATTTTTGATTCATGTGATCCATTGGTGATATAAAACAGTGTTTCTCAAACTTTTTCATACCAAGGACCACTTAACCAATACAAAAACTCTCGCGGACCACCTATCTCCACAAATATAAAAAAAACACATCGTTTTTCCAGAACAGATTACAAATGGCCTGAAAATGGTACAAACAAGTGGCAACATGTGTGATGAAGGTGTTGCGCTGGGTTATATCATGCAATCGAAAGTGAAACTTAACCTCGCCCCATTTTTCGGAGATATTCCCGCGAGAGTGCGGAAAACTTTAATTAATTAATTAATTTCAAATGTGAAATGTTACCAATATACTCACAGACCACTAGGGGGCACTCACGGACCACCAGTGGTCCGCGGACCACACTTTGAGAAGTACTGCTATAAAATATTGACTATGGCTGCTTTAACGACACTGTACATTTAGAATAAATAGGGACAAAAGTGTTCATTTTTATAAAATTAGAAATCTAATAAACTAACAAGATCACAGTATGTTGATGTCTGGAAAAGGAGAGGACTAAGATTAAATAAAATATGTTCCTTTACTTTTTTGAGTCTAAACAGAGTCTCTGTGACTCAGCTTGACTTGTGAATAATGTGGACATCCCACTTCACCAGATTTTCTCCTGTTTGAGCAGCTTTTTTCAGCAGGTACTGACTCAGAGTGACAGCTATGTGCCGTTGATGATGACAGCTCTGAAAGAGGAGAGTAAACCAGACTATTGGTTTTCTGGTTGGTCCGTCTGACTGACCCGGACCGGCCTCTTTAAATGAATGTCACAGATGTGTAAATAGGGATGGGTCGTCTTCAAATCCTGACTTGGACTTTCAAGTGGAAACTGATGTCATTCCCGATCCCTGTGCCAGCTGAGGGAGGCTATCATTATGTAGCGTTCAGTCTAGGAAACAAAGTGCTCATAGGAAGCATAGGAGAAAAAAGGGATTATGAATAATGAGACAGAAAGCCCAGAAGCCACCGTCACAGGAGCTGTGGGTTCTGTGGTAGATAAATGATAATACACGTGGCTTCTGAGTCAAAGTTTGATGTCTTCTCTTAATCGATATTTCACGTAGGCTTCTTCTACTGCTTTTCAGTTTTTACATTAATTGTAGGGTGCTGTGTAGGTCAGGATGAGGTCAGATGTAGAAATTGGATCACACTTGAGCTGAGTTTCACTACAGAATACGAATCGAAACAAGTATTGTGACGTCTAAGACCTTGATTTTGGTTCCCTAGGCTTCCATGCAAAATTGAATTAGGTAAGGACTGATTGCTGTTTAGGTTGTGTCGGACACATCGCTGTAGGGTGGGGAGACGGCATGACAAAGAGTGAAGCTTTCCAAAATGCAATTATTAAAGTTATCGTGAGTCACCTGGTGATGAACCATTAAAAACACTGATGCTGACTCAAGTATACATCAGCCAAAATCAGTCTTTAAAGAGGCTCTATTAAGCTTTCCCTGTAGTGTGTTATATAGGTTTATGTGCATGCACATGGTTTGCAAAGGCTACAATCCCTGTGTCCCCCACAGAGGGAGCTTCACTATGTAACACTTGTGCTTCTATTGGCTAGCGCTCCAACATATTATATGTGTCTTAGAGGCGGGACATCTCTAAGTGGTTGACCAATCACAACAGAGCTGGCGAAGTGAAGACTAATTTCTGATATTTTATTTGACTTATTACTTTATTTCAGACTCTCTAGTCACCCTAACAATGTTTCATCCCACAGCAGCACAAGTCAACCTGCATATTTAATCCTGCAATATGAACTTTTAATTATCAGTATGTAAAAATAGCTACTGTTTACATTTGAGTTCCTCTGAGGCTCACATCCTTTGGCTTTACCTCACTGCACGTCATTGTTAAGCCTTTTCTAGCAGAGCCCCTTTAAAACCGACCCTAAAGTGATAATGGTGAGTACAGTCCAGTTATAGGAGTATTGGCCTCAATTCCAGCAATATGAACACCCACATTGGTCTCGTTGAAGTAATACAGAATGTTAAAACTCTAAAGTGTCTGGATGACTTCTCCCGTGTCAATGCAGTTATGTCTCAATTGATTTTTCATTATGTGTGGTCCTCTTGTCTATTTAACAACAACAAGCTGCAAGTAACCGGGCAAACAAGTATCAGTATTATCCAAACAGCTGCATATTTAAAATTCCTAGCCTTAGTTTCATTATTGGCGACAACAAATGGAAATTCTGGACCTCTTCTGTGCTGAAGGATGCTCTGGACATGTTCTGACATGCTTGAAGTTCATCCTCTCTTAACGGTTATAAAGACACTCTGCCCTCTGCTGGATGATCAGAAACTCACACACTTCAGGCCTGTAACTCCTCCCTCTGTTAATCCTCTGCCACATTCACGCCTGATGGATTTCTGTCTATGAAAGTGCAAAGGGCCAAAGTTGAAATATACACAACAGGCTGACCCAAAAACAAACCTCTGATCCACTGATGCTTCCTGTTTGAAAACCCAATGCAGGTCATAGTTTACCACAGATTGATTTGGCTCCTTTTAAACGATTTTGAAGTTGCAACAGATACTAAGTGCGAAAACATAATAGATTTCTGACCTAAGGTTAGAGATTTGTTTTTCTAAATGAGACTCAGGAAAAGGGAGGTAAATAGTTTAGATACTGAACAATGAAAGGTCAATTGCCCAATGTGTGTTCTTATTTTCAAGGTTCTTATCAATTGTGTTGGATTTTCCATCTTTTTATCCTAATTTTGCATTTCTTTCTCTGTTTTCATGTCCATTGAACGTCTATTTTCTCTTATTCTAAAGGACTTGCTCTTAACATCCCGATAGCAATGAATACATTAAATGCTTTGACAATAAATACATAACAAAATGTAATCTGTGGAAGCCGTGGTACTGTAAAAAGCACGACCAATCATCTGAGCCGGCCCGGCTAAAGTAACTGGATGGCCTACCTGCCTGTCAGCCTTCCATCTGTGCACAAACTTATCTCGTGCCCTCATTGGTCATGTGCGCATTCGTGTGTGTTGGAGGAGGGGCTCTGTAAGGAAGTCTGAAGGAAGGGGCTCTCGAGCTGGTTTCTCCATTCTTACCTACCCACCTTTAATATATCAGTTAATTGAGAGATTTTTAAGCGCAGATTATTTTCACTATTGTTGGTTCATTTTCTGTTTATATAGTCACATATTAGGCACATTAGTTTATTTTGTCAAAAAGGGTATTCTAAGTACTATACATCAAATGTTGGATATAAATAACTACAAGCAGCAATGACTGTTTGCACAGACATTCAGAACTTGGAAGCACAAACAGCTCAATCAAGCTACATTGGTTTGACAAGAACATTTCACTCAAAGTGAATTCATCTTTGTTCAGGCCTTTTTGCTGCATCTCTCTGATAAAGACTGTGAGATTCAGCTAAAAGCTCAATGAAAAGAGTGTAAGTTGACCTTTGGGTAACATTCATATTTGTCAAACTACTATTTCTAAAGTCAGGAGGCTGCATTCCCTCCCCTCCCTCCCCCCTGCCTCCGTCTGGACTTTAACACCCCACACACACTCAGACACTCAAATCCAGCAAGACACTTTTTTTCGTTGCTATGGACAATCTCGCACTATGTACATTTCCCAAAGATATTGAAGTGACTGTTATTTTGTATATATTGATTGTGCTTTTATTTATGTCTTAATGTGTGCATAATGTATACATGTGTCTGTTGATTGTGTATATATAGGATATACCTATTTATATATATATATTTGTATTTTTGTATTCGGGATTGTGGGAAACGGTATTTCGATCTCTCTGCCTGTACACACAAACTGAAAGATTGACAGTAAAGTTAACTTTGACTTGACTTAGAAGAATAAACTTTTAGGCTATAAATCTCTACCTGCCACTCCGATCTGGTGGGTAGCAAACCCCGGCAGCCGGCTCTCTCCCTCCCCCAGCCAGAGGGAGAGCACCGTGTGGTCGTGTTTGGCGTGGTGGAAGGAGAAGCCGTGCTCAGAGGCGGCGGCGGCACATCGGCTCAGGGAGATGGGAACTCGGAGCCACACTGCGACTTTTCCCTCCGATTTCCACTGGACCAAAGAATCTGCAGAGGTCACAAGTTCACAAAGTTACACACACTTTAAAATGCATTATTGAAGATGTCGCTGCTATAAAAACAGACAGGAAGTATTATTGATGCCTAATCTTATTCTGGGGACAAATGGAAAATGGGAAGAGAGAAGATGACAAACAGCAGAGACACTTTAGTGGGAGTAGCCTGAAGGGAAAGGAAACATTTAACCAATTTAGGAAAAGACCCACTTGCACTTATTTCAAAAAGTTAACACATGTCATTTATAAGCAAAACAAATAAAAATGTATTTAGCTGCTTCCAGTTAGTCTAATTAAACATGTATCTTTTTTTATCTGATCCCTAATTAATTAGGTTTAGGTTTTGGACTGTTATTATTTAAGGCTGCACAATAATTCCAAATGTTATTTAGGACTAGTGCGGGAAGCACAATATTGGGTGAAGACAAATTATAATATCTGAATGAAGTGTTGTTGTGCTGCAGAGAAGTCCTCGCCTACAAACTGTATTTCATGGGCTTAATCATTTTTTAAATTTATTTAATGATAATGTGAATAATATTTCAAAAATATTATATCCCAATCACAATATCAGTTCATATAATTGTAATTATTATAGTCTAAATCAATCAGCCCTACTAATAAGACACAACTAGCCATTCAAAGACTCCACCTTGGGAACTTGTAAAATACATTAACAACATTTCCTGTATTTCTATTACTAAACAACTACTGTATTATGACAGTTTGTTTCGTATGTGGAAAGATCTAAAAATCGACATCTCTGACAACAACTAGTGTATAAATCAAACATTGACCTGCAGATGCACTGGAAATAAAAAATTAGCTGAGATATAAGGGACATTTAAGCATAAAGCACAAGGGAAACTCTATAGCAATATTTCTGATAATGCAGCCTTCTTTATAAAGTCCCAGGAAGTACTATTATAAGGCTAGCTCACTATTCTAGTTTATCAATCAATCAATGTCTATTTATATAGCCCAATATCACATGTCACATTTGTCTCAGTGGACTTCACAGTTTGTACAGAATATCAGTATGACAATAGGACACCCTCTGTTTGCTGCAGATTTCCGAGTTGATGACATGTGGACGAGTCTCATTCATACTTTACCTTTCAGTAATCTACTGAATGATTTCTCACTGATGTCCTCCGGTAAACAGCTGTCAGACAGGTTCACTGTCACTCCACCGAACCGGTCCTCTCTCCCGGTCAGAGCCCCGGACCCTTGAGCACGAGCTGCAGTACACGAGAACGTACGGAAAGCTGGGCATGCACGAGATGAAGCTCTGCAGCACACTCTTCCCCTTACCAGCGGGAAAAACCTTGAAGCAAAGGCACAAGCAGCCATTATACTATTCTAACATAAACAAGTGTTTAATGGGAGAGAATAGTAGTTGTTCTTTTAACCGGCATGTGTGTTCCGTAAGGTACAGTTACGTAAAGGTCCGCCCCAGAAGTTGCATAATAACCGTAATGCTTCGATTAGCTGCTTTGGTAATGTGACGAACTGCATTCAATTCATTCACACTTCCGACAATTTAGCCAAGATACAAGATGTGGGTCATTTACACTATACATACAAACAAACATATAAAGAACATTAAAAAAAAAAAAAAAAACTTGAAACAATCCTGTCCCAGAATAAAAATGTATGATGTGCTACATGATACCTACTGATGGCCAGTCATTTCAATCCAAATTGATACTTTAACCATTATGGAAACATATAAGCCGAATGTAAGACTCCATCGTTATAATGTTTCAAGTATCTCTAAAAATATTGAATTATGTGTTTCTACTTCCTGGCAACACATAAACCTTTAAATTATATGATTTTTCTATTGAATTTGGCATTACTTTTTTGGTTTCATTCTTCTTCTTTTTTTACTCGGAAACTCTTTTTTTTTATATATGCCGAATGAAAGACTGCATCTGTATAATGTATTTTATTGATTTAAACAAATTGAATAACGTGTTTATACTTATTGGCATCAAATACAACCTTCAATTATAAAAATGTTCTATTGAATATGGCACAACATTTTTTTCTAGTTTCAGGATCTTGTAGTTTATTCAACCAATATAAACCAAGGTTTAAAGGGGAAACAAATCCCTAATGTTGTTATTAAATCTCGTACTTTCACGTTACAATCCAATAAATAAAAAGTCAAATGTATAGTCAAAGGTGCATTTCTGTGCATTTCGGGTGTTTACGGTAAAAGAAGGCGGGACTAAACTCTAACCAGGAAGTTTACATCAGCGCTCGGTGTTTACACATGTCTGTGTGCTCACGTGGGGGATCTTTCCAATATTAAAATGTCTTCAAAGAAAAATAAAAGCAAATCTAAAAGAGTGAGTGAGGGGGACAGCTCCCTGCTACCGAACGAGGGTTCCAGTGACACCTCCATCCTGCAGACATCCCGCAGCGATGGAGGAAGCTGCAAAAGTTTGAACTGCAACTCATTCATTGTCAACGATTTCATTGATAAAGGTAAGACTCCTGGACATTAACACAAGAGTCCAATAGTAGTTTGATAAAGGTGAAACGTTAGCATGTGTGAATGCATCAGCAGGTTAACAATCTGCAGATAAAGAACCGCTATGGTCCCTGTTGCCCTCAGAGATGCTGCTGGATGCTGATGTTGTTTAACGGTAAAGTGCTGTCACTAGGAGACTATAGAGACATATTTCTGAGTTTTAGCTCAAGCAGATTGGTTTAAAATGAGACACTGACTGAGGCCACACCGGCTTTCAGGTTTGGGGATATTTGAGTGTTTGCATGCATATTTAGTGACATACAAGTCATGTTTCTTCCAAGTCTTTCTAGGATGAATACATTACATTACATGTTACTTGTTAGACGCTTTTATCCAAAGCCACTTATATACTCAGTACTGTGGGCAATCCCCACAGGAGCAATTTGGGGTGAAGTGTCTTGCCCAGACACAACGACATGCTGACTGCAGTGGGGTTTGAACCTGTTCCGAACACCAACGCACAACCCACTGCACCAATACCCTCTGTGTGTATTTTTTTATCAGCAAAGGAATGCTGTCAGTGTCAATGTTGTGTCATGCACATAAGACTACACAAATCAAACTTTCTTTCCAGTAAGACTCATTTCTGTACAAAAGGGGACTTTATTTAGTCTTCCCCTGCCTTTATTAGGTAAATCCCCCTTTGGCAAGTATGAAAAGGGGGGATGAATACAGCCAGACAAAATCGTTAAGATCTTAAAAGCTGTTAACATCTCTACTTAAGCTAATTGTCCCGCTGCTTACAGACAACAATGAATGAACCGCTAAACCCTTTACCCACAAAATAGGTTGTTTCTTGTCCGCAAGACCACAACTCAAATGCTAACTTAGCATTTTGTTCACCATTGTCAGAGCAGTAACTACTAGTGCTTTAGTTTGTATGAATTACGTTTGAATGTCGAACTTTTATTTGTGTATTTACTTTATATATGTGTTATCTTTCCTCCCAGCTGATGACAAAACACCCAAGAGTTGCAGATCGACTTTAGTCCAACTCAGCCTGAACTCAATGAAGTCAGCCAGTGTTTGCATCGGGAGGCCGGTGCTGCTGACGAGTCCCACCGGACAACAAGAGGTCTCTCTCCTCTCATCAGTTTCTATATCAGATATTTGTGAACAATTGTATCTTTAAAATCCACCGACTAACATAGTACAAGGGTAATGCAGTTTTGCATGCCTTCAGTTCTACTTATTTCTGAGCTTTTGACTTGATGTGAATGATGTTGCTATTATTTGTCTCTTTTCTTCTGCCTTCCAGGTGTGTTTAGGATGGCCGGTTGCCACGTTTCCTAGTGGTAAAGTTGGTCTTCAGAAATGTGCTCAGAATAACCTCAGGGTGAAGTCAGGTGGAGAGGTGATGCTGCACCCCATCACAGGTCCTGTGCTTCAGGCTGTGGAGGTGGTCCTCTCCAACAGGTAACCTGCATCTGGCTCTCACTGACTAAAATACACATTATATTAAAAATGTCATGTTCACACTATACTTAGTTATACAACATTATAGGTATCTTATTCTCAGTTGCTAGTTCATTAGACACACTTATCTAATACTAATGCACTCTTTTACAACACTACTTCAAACAACTATATTATGAGATAGGAAAGTCGAAATAATGAGATAAAAAGTCATTATGAGATACTTTGTCACAACAGACAAACCAGCTGCTCTTTGGCTCGAGTTCTCCTATTTATCTTGACACGGAAATGGATTGTGCGTACATTGAGGACTACTTTAAACGTGGATTTACAACAGATGAAATACTTAATTTGCTTGCTGATTCACATGGAGTTGTACTAAGCAAACGCACCCTTGAAAGGATTTTAAGCAAGAAGCAGCTCTGGCGTTGAAAGAATAAAAGCGATGTGGCTGAGGTGGCAATCTTCATTGAACAGCAACTGGAAACATCTGGTCAGTGTCATGGTTACAGATGGATGCACCAAAGATGTTGGTTACATTGTGACTGACAGAGAAACAGTGCGAATACTGCTACAGTTATTGGATGGTGAAGGTGTTGAGGTCAAGAAACAGACTGCGAACGCGCATCTACCACAGCTGTGGTCCAAACTATGTATGGCACATTGATGGTTACGACAAGCTTAAGCCATTTGGAATCGCAATCAGTGGAAGTGGCGGAAATGGGCTTCCATACATACTGTATGCACAAATCACATATCCACAAATCATAATGCTGCATTATTTATTGTATTTATGAAAGTGTTATTTAAGCCCATTTCAAATCACAATACAAATGGTTGAATAAGTTCTATGTTAATACATCATTGTAATAATGTATAAGAGTATCAACCATAATTCCATACCTCTGAAAATGCCTTTAGTTTGTATCACACAGATTTATGTTGTGTATCTCAGGTAAATGCTGCCATCTGCTGGGGAAATGTCCTAACTGCAGTTCAAAAGCAAAACTTTCAAATAATAATAATTAGTATTGTCCGGATTGCATTTAACCACAAAATACATATATTTGTAACAATCTTCATCCACACAAATCTGTTTTTATTTAACATGATATGACATATTTATTTTTATTGTTTTATAATCTGTAATTTATAAAGGTTAAAATCATTACAAATGTCTTAATGGTTAATTCTCACATGCCTATAACTTTCTTTCAGGTCAAAAGATGAGACACTAGAGACAGATGAGTTCAAGAACTTCTTACTGAGGTCTCTGGGTAAGTCTCTTTTTCACACTATTACGTGATTTGTGATATGTCTTAAATCATTTGGAACCATTTTCCAATATGGCGAAAAATGAATATTGTGTCCTGGTTTTGAATTGCTGTCTATGTTCAGTTTTTTTCGGTGAAATAACTCTACTGGTTTGTCCGTCTTGTCCCAGTTGGGAATATCCTCCTGCCAGGAAATGTCGTCCCCTTGACCTACTTCGGCCGGTCATGCAATCTCCGGGTGGAGACCGTAAGAGGGGATGATGGAGTCTCCCTCCACAGACCATCTCCCCCCTCAGGAACCCCCCCTGACCCAGAGGAGTCCTCCGTGATGGACTCAGTGCTGGACTCCACCTCAGCCGACCTCTCCCTGCAGCTCAGCCTGCTCACTGTGGACGATAACGGCTCTGACGGGGCCCCAAGCTCAAATGGAGATTCGGGTCCTGCAGCCAGCACCCCACGACGACCTGCCCACCTCTCCTCCCTCTCCTCCCCCCTCTCCCCCCCCACTGCTCCCTGCACCCCGTCCTCCCATGATTCTCCTGCAGAGGGGTCTTACAGTCTGGAGAGCTCACAGCAGGCTGATAGCGTCCCCACAGCACCCCCTGGTGGAGCTCAGAGTTCGGACACCTTCTACTGCCTCTCCTGCTCCACTAAAGTCAGCTTCAGAGACAGAGCAGGGCAGGAGGACCCGGATGCTGAAGCTCAAAGGTCAAAGGTCAAATACTGCATGATTGGAGGGCTTAGCAGCCAGCTGGACGTCATCAGAGAGACCATCGAGCTTCCTCTGAAACATCCAGAGTTATTCTCCAAATATGGTACGTGTTTCAGAATCAGCATCAGGTTTACACATACAAGGAGTTTGCTTTGGTGTATAATGAGGACATTTTCAAACTTAAAATGGTGCATGCATAATCACAATAAAAGGAATCATTTGTACAAAGGAGAAAGTATAGATTAATAAAAAAAAAAGGAAATGTACAAAAAAGTAAGTAGTACAATACAAATATGACAGTAGCTCTGAAAAATAGAATATCCTCAGTAAAGCAGGATGTCTACTGGGTCTTACTTCAACTTAAAACAAGATTTAATTGCAAGCTGTTTTCTCTGCAGGTATCCCACCTCCCCGAGGAGTCTTACTATACGGTCCCCCAGGCACCGGGAAGACTATGATTGCACGAGCCATAGCCAATGAGATTGGAGCTCACATGACGGTCATCAACGGCCCCGAAATTGTTAGCAAGTACGGTCAAATTGCTCAAGTATCACTTCCCTGAATGAATTTGAATTGTAATGCAAACCTGACCAAAGTGATGGAATTGTATAGTCATCCAGATTCAATAATGATGTTGTTTCATGTCTTTGCAGATTTTATGGTGAAACGGAGGCAAGGCTAAGGCAGATATTCACTGAGGCGTCTCAGAGGTAAAGTTTTAAATGGCTAATCCCATCATTACCTCTAGCATAGTGTGTTTTCCTTATATGCAACCTAATGCTTTCTTTGTATTCACCGCTGTCTTTTAACATGTTCATTTTGAATCTTATTTGTAAAAATCCACACTAATAGAGTAATCATTTATTTTGTGCAATAAACTAGCAAATTAAGCCACAATACTTACCGTATATTAACTGCAGTACGCCAATAATAAACAATAGCTAAAGATGAATGTGCTCAAACCAAATATTAAACACATTCAAAGAGCACGACCAAAGACATTTGATTTATGATTCAAAGCTCTGCACCTAAAATAAAGCCTTCATGATCAGCTTGTGATTTTGCATTTTACAGTCTTGTTGGCGGCTTTTCTCTCATTTTCATTTGATTTCCAGACAACCTGCGATAATCTTCATCGATGAGCTGGACGCTCTGTGTCCGAAGAGAGACGGAGCGCAGAACGAGGTGGAGAAACGAGTCGTTGCTTCTCTGCTGACTCTGATGGACGGGATTGGTTCAGTGAGTTTGCTTTTTGACCCTCCTGCAATTGACCACTTTTTTTTGATGAGCCCTGCTCTCCCGTGATATCTTTAAAAAAAAATCCATATTTGAGTTACAAAATGACATGTTCAGTAAATTCAGATTATGAAACAAGCTCTATGCTCCTGAAGTACAATGCAACGTGTTCTCATGCCTTTCTTTGTATATTTCTTTTCATTACTCCATTTAAACCTGCACCTCCCATCATCTGGTATGAATGCACTGTAGTGTAGGGAGGCCTGAGTCTAAGATAAGATAACGTTTTGTGACACAAAAAGTTCTGAATCAAACATCTTTGTTTACTATTTAAAAGAAAAGAGAAAGAGGACTTGGAAATAGTAACTTTGGGACATTGAAGACACTGATTTTTGAACTTTTTTCTTTGAAATGTCCAGAATTATATAATAGCCGCTTTCACACCAAGTACTTTGCCGTACTTAGTGCCTCGGCACTAAGTACCTATCGCGTTCACACCGGAATAATTTCCCTGAGGGAAGATTACAAAAATGAAGCCGCTGACGTCACTTCTTCTTCTTCTTCTTCTGCTTTGGGTTTACTGGCAGGCCGCAAACAACTTCACGGCGTATACTGCCACCCGAAGTCCCCGGCCTGAAGTCCCCGGAGTTGGGGACTGGCTTCAGTAGAAGCTGCTGGGACTCCCAGCAGCTTCTACTGAAGCCTTCCGAGTAAAATCTCCAGAACGCCGACACCTTCTCATCTCTCCACCGCTCCCATGTTTTATTTTGTGTTGCCATGAGTTAGTCTCTCTCCGTTGGTGCGCTGGGCTAATGCTAATAATGCTAATGGCACAAATACAATGGCGGCTTTACAAAACTTTTCAGAGTTTTACGGGGCGTGGTTTGCAATTCGCCCAGCCATTCAGAAATAGGTAGCCTACTTTTGTGGTACCACCTCTCAGCAGGCATTAAACATGGGGGTTAAAGTTCCCGGCACTAAGTACTCTTTTTGGTGTGAACACAACATAAGGGGTACTAACGGAACTAAACGGGAAAAGTACTCCGGTGTGAACGCGCCTATTGATTGCCTAAAAGGTAATTTATCTGAGTCAACTAAGTTTCCACTTCATATATACGTTATACACTAAGTAGCAGAGGTGTGACTCGAGTCAGACTCGAGTCACGAATTTGATGACTTGAGACTCGATTGGCAAAATCACAAAACACTTGCGACTCGACTTGGACTTGAACACCAATGACTTGACTTGGACTTGAGCCTTCTGACTTGAGGTGACTTGATACTTTAATTCAGAGGTCTCCAACACGCCGATCGCGAGCTGCCGCTAGAAGAGCAGACTCTCGTCAGGGAGAGCAGAATCTTCAGCCGCTCCTACTCTTGCTGAGAATCCTTGCAGGCAGGGGCGGGACTTTATTTAGCTGGGCCACCATGCGGCCAATCATATGCAAGGACAAACTAGGATCATACCATTATGTGAAAGAAGGGCGGGGGCAGACGCTCCACACAGCAGGTGTAGTGGTACAGGCCAGCTGCACAGAGCGACGGGGAGACGGATTTAAATGCAAGCGCGTCGGAAAAAGTCAAGAAGTGAGCGAAAACCGAAAAAATAAGCAGCATCTGGCTGCATTTCAATGATATTGGAGAAAGAAAATCTGAGTGCAGGATTTGTAAAATGAAAATAACCTTCAGAGCAGGGTTTTGTTTTGGTACCCACTCAGGATTTATTGCCAGAGGTGGGAGAAGTTCAGATCTTGTACTTGAGTAAAAGTACCAGAGTGTAGGAATACTCGGTTACAATAAAAAGTCCTGCATTCAAAATGTTACAAGTAAAAGTACAAAAGTATTAGCATCAAAATATAGTTAAAGTACCACCTGCAGAGGGATCTAGACTCAGGTGTTCTTTTACCCATAGAGACCGCCTCGCTGCACATTAGCCCTTGCATAAAGATAGATTGTGGGTCCCTTATAACATGTTGTACACAGTGGAAATAAACATTCTGGTTACCTCAACATCAGGGATCTTATACATTAAACTCCTTCTGAATCAAACCGTCATGGTAGCCTTACCTTACTGATCCCTCTCAAAATAGTTGCTTTACCAGCAGAGAGAAAATGGATTATTAAATTATTAATGTGACTAATAAAGGGAAGTTTGATTATTAAGTATTATTCTGTTGATCGATGTCATTACATTTGGTGAAAAGCACATAATGACTTGTTTAAGACTCGTTTTGTCAAAGTTTAGGACTTGTACTTGACTTGAACTTACCCATCCTGACCTGACACTTGACTCGGACTTGCAAAACAATGACTTGGTCCCACCTCTGCTAAGTAGTGATGGCCACTTCCTTCTATGTGTTTCTTTTTGTATACTTTAGCCAGTGTTATAGCACGAAATATACATTTTTCTTTCTCTGGAGATCTGCTTTAAATTGACCAAAGCTTGTTCTGAACACACATGACTGAAGAACCCAGCGCTCCTAGCAGATTGCTCTGTCAGGAAATGCTCTCAGTGGAAACGCAGACCGTCATGCAGAAGCCATCTCTGCCTGCTGGCCGGCCTTCACACACTGTGGGTTGATTCTCTGGGGTGTTGTTAGTCCTCCAAGCGCTCTGTCAGTGCCTGATGATGAGGAAAAAGATGGTTCCCCCCC